AAGGTCTTCTGCTGTACCATCCCAGCCAGTCAAGTTGAAAGCAAAAGATTAAGAACTACTTACTGATATGCTGTCATCTGATTTTTTTTCTTTCAGATAGCTTTCATTACATAGTTATCTTTTTTAGTACTTAAAATTAATTTTCTGTTCTTGTTAGGATATACTCAGTTTTCCCACCTAGAACTTTTAAAAAGTATTATCTCTGGCATTCTAAAGCTTTTATTTTTATATTATTTCCAAATGCTTTTCCATCTGTTAGAACTTTCTTTCAAATTTTGAGCACATCACAAGAAGAAAATTTATATTCCATAAACCTTCTTTGTTCTCCAGAGTTTTGTGCTAACCAATCTGTTCCTTCCATTTTGAAAGGTTATGTATAGATCAAATCTCTGTGGGAATGGTGAATAGATTGCAGCCAGTAAATAAACAACAGGGCTTAGGGATTAGAAAGACTTGGATTTCAATCCTGGCTTTACCTCTTTGTGTGGATGAGGCTTTAAGCAACCAATGCAACCTTTCGTGCCTCAGTTTCTTAACCTATACAGTACGCATAATGATACTTATCCATGGCTGGACGTGGTGGCTCATGCCGTAATCCCAGAGCTTTGGGAGGCCAAGGCAGGTGGATCACCTGAGGTCAGTAGTTCAAGATCAGCCTGACCAACATGATGAAACCCTGTCTCTACTAAAAATACAAAAATTAGCTGGGCGTGGTGGCGCGTGCCTATAATCTCAGCTACTTGGGAGTCTGGGGCAGGAGAATCACTGGAACCCGAGAGGGGGAGGTTGCGGTGAGCTGAGATCGAGCCACTGCACTCCAGCCTGGGCAGCAGAGTGAGACTTCATCTCAAAATAATAATAATAATAATAATAATAATACTTATCCATGGAGTTCTTGTGAGGATTAAATGACAGCATGTATCTAAAGAGCACCTTGGTGCACTCAAAAAATGGGAGTCTGTTTGATGGTGTTATGTCCTGGATGTTATAATGGTAAAACTGTTTGCTCCATGTGACACCAGGATAGTGAACATATGGGTCTGTCTCAGAAAGGCTAAATTCATAGCCTGAGTGCAAGATAATTCTGTCTTCAGTTAACTATACATTTCTTGACTCCAAAAAGGATTTCTAAAGATGATAGCTTCATTTCATAAATATTTGTGGGGTGTATGTTCTGTGCAGGTACCTTGAGTAGGCTTTCTAGGGGATAAAGCCTGCCCCTAACCCTCACAGAAGTTACATTCCAGCTCAGACTCAACTCAACTACAGTGTAATGTAGAAAGTGTATGTCCTGAAGAATTTTCAGATACACTGCTATGGAAGGTCACGTTCAAAACCAAGCCCGTTTCCCCCCTTATCTGCAGCCAAATTTGTTTCACCCCAGCATTGCCCATCTCCACGAATGGATACCATCACGTGTTCGGTTGTCCTAGTCAGGAATCTGGGAAAGAAGCTCTCTTGGCCACTTGCCCTGCCTCCTTTCCACTGGCAGGTGGTCACCTCCTTAACCCTCCCAGAACCTCCCCATCTGTCTTACTTACATTGACTTAGTTCAGTGGTTCTCACACTCTTGGGCCATACCATCCCTTGGAAGGCTTGGCAAAACACAGACTGCTGGCACCTCTTCCCCCAGAGTTCCTTCTAATTCAGAAGGCCTGGGGCAGAGCCTGAGTATTTGCATTTCTAACAAGTCCCAGGTGATGCTGATGCTGCAGATCTGGGGACCTCACTGAAAACCACGACCTCAGTTCATGCCGTTGTCATTTGCTGTTGGGATTATTGCCCAGTCTTCCTGGCTGAGCTTCTGTATCTAATCCTCACCCTCCTTCACATTCTCCACCCTGCCCTCAGATCTGGAAAAGAGAATCTTTTCTGGCTGTTGATCACCCACAGAATAAATGTCAGAATTCCTGCTGTGATCTGCAGTGCCCTCCATTAGCTGACTCTTACCTGATTCTCTAGTCTCACCTGCTACTTTGCTGATCCCATCTCGGATCACTGAACACCTCCGGCACACTGAACTCCTGCAGTTTCTTGGTGCCGTGTCATTTTATGTTTTGCCTTTTGTATCTGCTCTTCATTATTTGCAATGCCATGAATCCCTTTCTTTCCTGGCTAACTCCTCTAGACCCTTCCAGACTACTCAGGAAAAACTCCTTGGGGAAGCATTACCTCCCCATCTGAAAGTAGAGAGAGGTGCCTCACTTATCTACCATCTACCTCATGGTGGTTATCACATGTTTGTACCTGCCTCTTAGTCCACCTCACCCACAAGACTCTGACAGCTTCCTAACAGCAAGAACCAAATCCATCATCTCTGTAGCCATAACCCTGAGCAGTACATTGCCTGACACAGAGGGGAGATCAAAGGATGTTGAATGAAAAGGGCTATCCAGGAAGACTACTTGGAGGAGGTAGATTATTTTAACCATAAGTAAATAGTGGTTAGTATTTAGACACACAAGCAGTAGCAGAAGAACATTCTAGAAGAGGGAACTTAAACCTGAGCTTGGACTTAGTCAGGCTTTGGTGTGAGGAAGGAACAATAAGGGCTCTCATTTGGCTGGCCACAGCATGTGTGGTCCTGAGAGCCAGTTGAGGGAAATAGCACAGGTGGAATTCACATGGCTCAACACGCTATTGAATATGGGAGAGTCAGGGAAAGAGCTGGATCAAAGGTGGGAATATGCCAATCACCAGTAACCCGAATTGGACTGTCCAGAGATGGATGAGGCTGGATAAAGAGCAAAGATGGGTGAGGATTAGGTGTGTTTGTGTCCGTGGTGGAGTTTGAGGGCACTGTTAGGACATGTTCTACTATCTTCTTCATGTGTCTTGCCACCATCTTATTCTGTTCTTACCTCCAGTGCCTAATAAGTGCTTGATGAATGCTGAGTGAATTTATGCCATGGAATCGGAATAAAGGCCAGGAGTGGTCCCACATGAGCCAGGGAGAGGAGAGGTGGTGTCGGTGGTGGTTTTAGATGGTGCCATTGTCACCCCCGATGCCTCTCCTGCAAATAAGATTTAGGTGAGGGAAGAGGCAGGCTGCTGGCCACGGGGGTAGGACCAGGCGAGAGACCTCAAGCAATAGCAGCAACGAGTTCAGAAGATGACTGCTTGTCGCCAGAAACAAGGAAAGTCTTAGAATTTGTGAAGATCAAACCGGCTGAGAGCTGAAACGTACCCTCTGCCTTCACTGTGCTAATACAATAAACATGAGCATTAGTACCTTGATTCTATGTTTAAAGATACGTCCAGAAAGAGTTATACATTGTCACTGCTAATCCGTTTTTTCCTTCTGAAATAGACGGCTTTATGACTATTATGACACTGTTCTCAAAATCTAACTACTACTATTCTTCCATTAAATTTAACACATGGACATGTGTTTAGAGAATAGAATATAATGTGGAATACGTGAAAGAAATGTTTTTGCTTCTGACCCGTTCTTCCAGTTTTCTTGTACAGTACTAGGGGGCTTTCTTGTAGGACTCTTCTGTGTGCAGAGAAATATCTGAATAAAATAATCTAGAGATAAAAGCATTAATGGTCTTTACATTACACATACACACAGTCAAGAGTTATTTTTCCAAGCAGGCACCCTCAGAGATAAATTACCTATGGTTATGTCTCCAAACCAGTAATTCTATTAGTAAATCCATCAAAAATCAAAATTAACAACGTGACCACGCAGGAAGTTTGACTACCAAAAACAAGCACTTGCAGGTGGTGTGTCGAGGATAAACAGTAGATAAAGAGGCAGGATGCAATTTCCTTTTATACTGAGGCTTGAGGACAGACAGACCATTATTCACTCATACCTGCCACTGACTAACAGAAGCACAGGGTTTATGAACTGCGAGTCGTTTACCTTTAAAATTCAATTTCATTCCTTCAGTCGTTGTGAGCTTGAATATCTAATTACAAGGTTTACGCACTGAGATCCCAGTGTAATCATCTATAAAGCGTGTACTAGTTGGAGTTAATTCATTGAACAAATATTTATCGAGCACTTATATATGTGTCAGCCCTGTGTTAGACATGAAGGAACAAGGGGACTCCGGTGTTCTGTCATGTTTGAGACAGACCTGGAGTTCCAGACTCTTATTTTATTGTTCTTGTTGCTACTGCGGTTAACATGTGAATGACTGGTTTTGTTTCCAGTTTTTCAACTTGAACTGTTTCATAAAACATGAAATGTTGCACTTCTGACATTCATCCAAAGTAGCAAGCTGCAATGTGCTTTTTAAAAATTCCACAGTGTGTTCATTTTGATGGGGCCAATTTGAAAAACCGGGGAAAGAGAAGTTCAGAAAGTTAGGGAGTTATAAGAATGCTTGGAATTTCTAACAGATTTTGCTAAACATTTTCTGTATCATGACATGTTCCAGAAGGCCATAAAAGTTAGTTTACATGAATATAAACTACTTTTTGCCTTGCTGATAACTGCAAATAAATAATTCAGATGACCACCCACCAAAAAACCAAGACGTTTGGGGGTTTATGTGTTTCCCATAAAATGTTTTCCTTATAAATTTCATAGTCAAGGAGAACAAGAATGAAGTAGTACCTCATTTTATTCCATTTTTAAATTCTGCAGCACCTGTTTCAATATTTTTGTATATCCCAATAATATCACTACAGAATAAGATAATGACTAACCTCTTTCCTTGATTTGACTTTAAAGGAAGGGGTAAAAGGCATTCTTTTATTTACATTTTAGTACAGCAACACACTGATTTCTCCAGTCAAAATTAATTAATCTGTCACATTGCTTTCATGGTAACAATCAACTAAATGAGACACATGACTATCAATTTGTATAGCACTGTTTTATTCACTAAGGAGTCTTATGTAAAACTTGATAAATGTTGCACTTATACTGCTGGTCCAGTGGTAATAAGTGAGAATAAAAAGAGCTGGATAGATAACCTTTAACTTAATATGGCTTGGTAAATTAGATCCTACATATGCTAATTTTGTACTTTTTTTAATAGATGGAACTGATTAAAAATATAAGTACTGCCGAACAACCCTATTTATTCACTCGACATGTTCATTTCCTCAACTTCTCAAGGTAAGACATTTTCCAGTTTAATGGTTCTTTCATTTTCTTCTAATGAACAATTACTTTAGAAATCTACCCTTATTTACAAGGTAGTACAATTGCCCTTGAAAAGACATTTTTAATCCATTTATTTTTGCTATGGAGGGATTGAAATTTGAAATATTTGAACAGAAACTTCATCTCTTCCTAGACTACTGTCTTAAATCTTATAAAAACTTGGAATTATTTTTAAATGAGAAGCCATTTGACCTAATAGCTCTTTTCAAAAAAGGAATCAGATTTTGTATTGAAACAAATAAGAAGACAGGAGATGGGTATTTTAGCATAAATATTTTATTACACATTTTTGTACAATTTGAACCTGCACAGAACTCTGGGAATAATTCAGTGCTAGAGTAATGGGTATTTTCTAGGATCCAAAGTACCAGCCTCTGTCTGTCTTTTTAATACAGTCATGTGCTACATCATGACGTTTTGGTCAATGACAGACCTCATATACATATTAATCTATAAGATTGTAATATGGTATTTTTACCATATCGTTTCTATGTTTAGATACACAAATGTTTAGTATTGTGTCACAGTTGCCTCCAGTGTTCAGTATAGTCACATGCTGTCCAGGTTTGTAGCCCAGAAGCAGTAGGCTGTACTGTACAACATAGATGTGCAGCAGGCTGTGCCATCGAGGTTTGTGTATGTACTCTAAGATGCTTGCACAACCACGAATCGCCTAATGATGCATTTCTCAGAATGTACCCCTGACATTAAGTAACGCATGACTGTAAACCATTTGATTTTCTAAGCCTCGCATGTTTGATGCTGGGGAGGTTTTTAAAATTCTGGTTTTTGTTTCCAGCGGCTGTGGTCTTCTAATAACAATGTAGATCTTCAAATTCAGGTTTTTAGATTCCCTGTTTGTTAAATTACTAGCTTCAAGTTCTGAGTGTCCTTTTCCCCAGTGGTTCATTAGCATAGGTTGACTGTCACTGTGCCTCACTCCTGAGCTGATGGCCCTTAGTGTTTTACTCTCCCTGTGCTGGCCCAAATCTGCACTCACAGCTACTATCTAATGGCTGACAGATCACTGGATCCAGAGGCAGATCTGCTGGGGACCAACCTGGGAACCTCTGGGCCTCCCTGGTCAGCCATCTGACGGGCACTTCTGTCATCTTAACAGTGCCTTGCAGGTCCACACGAGAGCACCAAAGGAACCGGGGCAGCAGGCGACATCTGCTGGTTAGTGCTGACCTAGTGGCTCCTGCAGGCCAGGCACCCAGGGAGCTGGCTCCGGAGGAGCTGTTGCCCTGGTCCAGGGTGCCTGACAACCCACCTGGCTGGAAGAAGATTTCAGCCCTCCAAGGACTTCCCTGCTGTGCAGCAGGTCCTGTGCAAATTAAGTGCAAAGAATGAGATTCAGTAAAGCAAGCTATTAAGCAGAGAAAAGGAGTTGCTGCCTTATCTTTAAAAGCAAGCGTTCCCTGAAGTTTCCTGGGCCTTCCTGATAACCAGAGTTCTTGGGATGGTAACAGGACTCCTGCAGATTTTCCGCAGTGATCCAGGGCCAGGTGCTGGGCAGCTAGGAGTGTGTTTTCAACCATATTTATCAAATGGCTTGTTACTGGATTATCCAGGGTATGTGCCCTGACTCTTAATTCCAGAAGGCCACAAGCATATTATTAGACATGATTAGATAACAAGGCTTATTAGCTCTTTCAGGCATTGTGTTTTATGCCTTGCAAAGAGAAAAGCACTGCTTCCCTGATCCTTACTGTTCTACCATGTTTCCTTCTAAGTCACCCCTGACATCCTTAAACCTCATTCATCAACACTTCTTGCTTCATAGGTCAAATCTTTACAACCAAACAGATTGCAGTGCAACAAGTTTTAAGTATGTATCTCTGAACCGTGTAAAACACAAATTAGAAGCCATGGCCAGTATTTTAATTGGGTCAGCAGAGCATAACATGGTAGCCATATTCTGTTATGGCTTCTACCATCAAACACATGTACAGGAGTTTAGTCTTCATTGCTTTAATTCTGAAAGGAAAAAAAAATGATAAGTGCCTTTTAGAAGACACCATGTCTACAGAAAACGGTGCTGGCCTGGCCGTCAGGACCTCTGGTGTCAGAACTGGCCTCCCCACTGGTCATGATTCTTGGCAAGCCATTCAACCTCTTAGAGGTCTCTGTTTTTCTGTTTTTCCATCTGTAAAACAAGGATAGTTCTCAGTCATCCCTACCATATAGGGATGCTCTGAACTGTGAAGAAAAGGCCTTCTGAGAGAAGGCCACTGTATTGGTCCATTTTCATGCTGCTGATATCCAAGACTGGGAAGAAAAATAGGTTTAATTGGACTTACAGTTCCACGTAGCTGGAGAGGCCTCAAAATCATGGCAGGAATCGAAAGGCACTTCTTACATGGTGGCGGCAAGAGAAAATGAGGAAGATGCAAAAGCAGAAATCCCTGATAAAACCATCATATCTTGTGAGACTTATTCGCTACCATGAGAACTGTATTGGGGAAACCACCCCATGACTCAAATTCTCTCCCATCAGGTACCTCCCACAACATGTGGGAATTACATATGTACAATTCAAGATGAGATTTGGGTGGGGACACAGAGCCAAAACATATCACATGCTATATACATTCAGAGTGGCACTTAAAAAGGCAATTCTATAGACGTCTCAGGCTGAGCCCACTGCCCAACTCCTGACTCAGTTTCTATGGAGACACCTTGAGGGCTGGGCTGGGCTCTGCTTCTCCTCCCTCAGTTCCATTTTACTCAATTAAACACATATCTATGGATTACCTTCTCTCTTCTATACACGACATGAGAACTGGGGCTTCTGCAGTCAACATTAAATGTTTTTCTTGCCTTTGGGAGACTCTAAGTTCTTCCATTAAAGTGTGATGGATGTAAGGAGAGGGTAGTCACAGAGCTTCCCCTAGGGGAGGAACCTCCTGTGGGACCAGGACTCTGGGAGGGCATTTCTGCAGGGAGGTGAGGGATGGGTCAGCTTTAGACAAGTGAAGGGGGCGGGCATTCCCAGCACAGCCACCAGCAGAAGAGTGGGGCCGAGGGGAACTGAAAGGGATGCAGTGCAGACCAGGATGGACACGACTGGGCTGGAAGAGCAGTCAAGAGTTTTAAGCAGAAATAACAAGAGACTACCTGACCAGTTTTGCTGCTTTCAATAAAAAGCCAAAACTGACTCCCCAAGAGCAACCTCCTCCTCTCTTTACACCCACATACCAGGGCCTGGGCCCTTAGCTACAAGACTTCCATAAAAAGGAAGAGAATGATCAGTTGAACTTCAATATATGACAAGACTATGATTGTTCCACACATGGAACATGGGACATTAAAAATCAGCTTTTCCTTGTTTAAGGGAATAGCTTTCTTTAAGGAAAATTTCTGTGTCAATATGCAATTGACAAGAGGAAAACAACTAAGTTGGAACTTGTTAAGAGGACTTTGACATTACTTTTTTTTTTTTTTTTTTTTTTTAGATGGAATCTTACTCTGTCACCCAGGCTGGAGTGCAGTGGTGCAATCTCAGCTCACTGTAAACTCAGTTCAAGCGATTCTCCTGCCTCAGCCTCTCAAGTAGCTGGAATTACAGGCATGCACCACCATACCTGGCTAATTTTTCTATTTATAGTGGAGACAGGGTTTCACCACATTGGCCAGGCTGGCCTCAAACTCATGGCCTCAAGTGATTTGCCCACCTCAGCCTCCCAAGTGCTGGGATTACAGGCGTGAGCCACCGTGCGCAGCCAAGGACATTAACATACTTTTAAAAAATAAGTTTTAGATGTATTTCGAATAATAAGTTATAAAGATAATGAAGTTGATCTTAAGAAACCTACCCTTATAACTGCTGACAGACGTATTGCTTGTTTCAGGATAATGAGGTTCCCACGAGAAGAACTGATACTGCAACCTAATATTCTTTGTTGATATTTCCAATCCTCTGCACATCGTTAACATGCCGCACAATACTTGCTGGCAAGCGGACTGTAAGAATGAAAGTCAGGCCTCCCTCCCCACTTTTTTTTGCACACAAATGGTCAGAAGTTTTGAAGAGTATGGCATTATACCATAGGTAATTGCCCTTTCTTTTTTTATTCCATTAACGATGGCATTTTTACCTTCAAATTTAGACACTCTTGAGTCATGTAAAATACTATCCTGTGAGCATTTGGTGTTTCTATAGCTGACCTACTTCGTTTTTTTCACCATCTAGGCTTCTTGTCCTGTTTCTTCTTTTTCCGTTTTTAGAGTGAGAAGGAACCATATCTAGCTTTATTAATCCAAAGATGGGAAGTAATTGGTTCAGACCAATCAGGTGTTTTGCCTCAGGGAAGGATTCCTGCCTGGGACGTGTGCACAGCGAGCTCAGCAGAGATCTCAGGCTTCGGTGAGGATTCCTGAGTTGCACACTGGACTGCTTTTTCACGCAGTCATGGAACTCCCTGGAAATTCCAGCCAGACAAATATTTTTCACCTGGACTGTCTGGAGAATTGAGTCAAAACTACGTTGGCCTAAAATATGCTTCTCTTTGCTAGGATGTTTAAGTAGGATTTTTAATATTTGCATACTATGGTTTCACGTATCTTTTTCCAGTTTTCAGAGTAACTTTAGGAAACAATTTCTGAAAAAGATATCAACTTTCCAACATTAACGACATCTTTCCAAATCTATCTTAGATCCACACACTAGAAAGCCTTGTGAGAGACTACAATTCACATTTGTCTGTCCCCTGCCCTCAATTTTATTTGTTTTCTAAGCTTTTATTTTTTGAGGGGTATAAATATTTTTGCAATCTACAATGCCCCTCACTCTTCCAAACGTGCTTTTGCAGGGAAGCCCTTAAGAAGTTTTACCTCAGAGCCCAATGCTATCAAAATAGTCCAAATGCATTATAAGAGACATCAATATGCTAAATAATTTCAAACCACCACTTCCCTTATCCTTCTTCCATGTCATTCTTCCTTTCTTT